GGCTAGGATTTTTTTTTTTTACAACAAATATCTGTCATATGTCCCAATCTCCTTCTTTCTCTTCCTTTAGTGCAACACAGCGCAGCAGCCTCATTGAAACGTCTAATTTCAAAAGATGTTCCTGAAACCTCACCTACAGCAGCACCCTAGGCGTCCCATTGGGGGTGGCTCCTTTTTTCTTCTGTAGCCGATTCTGAACCTTTCGTGATTTCACCACTTTCATTCTCACCTCAAAAACTTCATGGATGGCCTTCCGGAAACAATGAAAATTATAGTCAATAAGCCCTAGAGAAGGAAATAAAAATATTTAGAAATACCACCTTAATTTTTTTTGGTCAGCCATAGCGAGGATACGCCAGTAGGGGGCAGTAGAGGAATGGGCTTAACATAAGGTCCACAGATTTCCCTAGGTCTGCAGCTGGGCGTCAGGAACTGCAGTAAACCTCTAGCAATTACAGGCAAAGTTTCATAAATATACATTTTTACCAAAGAAAGGTTCCAGAGTATATACATTTTCAAAGGTGTCTATGACCCAAAAGATATGAAGAGCAAATTGAACTGCCCTTTTAAAATCATTTAGAATTAACGATTTCTTACAATTAAGATATGTCTTCAGTGAAGTATTATTTTTCCCCAAAAGGCAGTATTAAATTGAGTCTGAATGGAGGCAGATCCTGACTTGGAGTGTAGCTGAGATCTCAAAGTCATGGACTCAATCAATCTTTACTGAATAGATATTCAGGAAATATTTAAGCCACTGTCTTATGGGAAAAACAAAGTCCTCGATTTTAGAGTGCTTATTGTCACCTCAGGTCAACTCTGAGGTCAGGAATCCAACAACCAATGACACTCTCAGTTTGTTAACATTAAGTAAATTTTAATGGAGAATTAGTAGGGGAGAATCTTGTGTTTTCAGAAATTAAACAGTGGTACAAAAATAGAATAAATGATAATCCAAGCCTTGAGTGCCTTTCTCATCATCACCACTAGTTTGTAAAGGTGTTGAGAGCAGCTTTAAGTTTATATCAGTTAGATAAGGTGATGGTCCATTCGTTATCTTTAAACTTATAAAAATAATTACCCCAAAAATTATTTCCCTCCACTCAGGTGATTCCAGAGTCCCAGTTAAAAAAAAAAAAGAATTGGGATTCCAGCCAAGAAGAGAAATTCTTCAAAGCAGTCATAAAACTAACTGCAAGTGCAGTGGAGGGAACACCAGCGCAGCTTCCAGGAGCAGGAAACAGTCTGCATGGCGCCCTCTGCTGCTTCTGCAGTGATAGTGACCACAGTCAACAGGGAGAAGGGAATAAGAAATAAGCCAGTCCAGGTATGAGCATCTCTTCTCTGCCTGAGGCTTTCTTTGGCACCAGAGAGCTTCCTCCACCACACAGACAGGTACCAGGCTATGGGCATAAAAGTTTCTGACAGCACTCCTCACACAGTGGGGCGTGGGAGTCGGTGGACAAATGCAGTCTTGCAAGCTCAACTAGGGTGATGCTGAGTTTCTTGTGTGCAGCTTCTCAGAGACTCCCCCAGCAGGATGGCTTTTCTACCTTCCTTGCTAATTTCCCCAGTTCCTCACTTTTATTTCTTGGACCCATCTTCCAAATAAAGCATGCAATTAAAAAAAAAGAAAC